CAGAAGAATGTAGGGCCCAGGCCCCGCAGTACGGGAAAGTCAAAGGTGTTCTGGGGAGCGGCGCCGAGTTAGCGATAGATAGAGAGAAGTGCACTGATCAAGTCAGAGAAGGAACTAGCAGCGGAAATGAAATGTATACAGAAATATGAGCGGATCCTCATATAGCCTAACTATATAACAATAGAGCACGGCCCAATTCTAAGCTATGCTGTGTGAGAAACTCCCGTGCAGCAGGCCAGATAGAGGGTGTTTGGGGGCTTAGCGATCATGCGCCCGTCGGAACTTGATACCACTCTCGTCAATGGGTGCACCAAACAATCTCCGCAGCTCTGCGTCTTGTGCCCGCAACGACCACACAAAAGCAGAGACGACAACGCAAACGCAGATAAGAACCCAACGGTGAGGCATAGTGGGGATCCGATTTCCCTCACACGTTGGGGTGTTGTGAATCCATAACAATGGAGGTGTTGCTGACCCAAGAAGCTGGTGATGCCTGGGCTCAGCTCTCAGTCTCTCACTCGCTATGCCGAGATTCGTTCGCGTTAATAAATAATACTACTTTAGTGCAATATTTTCAATAAGCACGACAAGTTCATAGGCTGTTCCTCTGAAAGGCTGCTGTGGGAAGCGTCATTTGGACCTCATAATGGGCCGGTAGGCATAAGTTGACTGACACCCCCATATAAACTCTCTTATGCTACAGACACTCAAACACCTCATCTGATTCTGCAAAATAACAAAGCTAACAGTGCTTCAAGAATGTTTCTTCTCTTGTTTTTATCTCTCCAAATTGTTCCTTTCTCAGCCCCAGTAGATCCGGCTCTGCGGCCTTAGCGCCTGGGAGAGGAGACGGCCTGGCACGTTGCAGAGCCTTTTGCGCCAAGTCTCATGCGAGCCTCTCCTAGCCTCTCCTATAGTCATAACAATACACGTCTTTGTAAACAGTATCTAATACATTCAGTAAGTATTTACTCAATAAATAACACTATGGAACCACACGCATTTCCACTGTTCAATCAACCTTCACTCTTGCACAACGAGCACGGCAGTGTTGCCGTGCTTGTACTGAGAATTCACCACACGCTACGCACTCCAACACCCACAGTCGGTGCTGCTGAGTTTAGGAGAGCTACGTATTACTGGGTTGTATCTCTGACGAGCTACTGTGGGGCGCATCCATAGAACACCACAGCTGACTAGCGAGCTGGCAGGCAATAACTATCATACTGAAACAACAGCATAACAAACTAACAAGGGTTAAAGGAAATTAGTTTTCTCTGTTTCTTCTCCAAAATTGTTGTCTTTTGCAGCTCCACTAGAGCAGACACTGCGGCCTTTGTGGCTGGGAGAAGAGACGGCTTAGCATGTTGCAATACCTTTTGCACCAAGGCTCGTGCCAGCCTCTCGTATACTCATATCAATGCTCACTTCATAAAGAAGATTTAATGCATTCACCAATGTTATACTCAATGTAGATCAATAGGCACTCAGAGACACTTCCACTGTTCATACAACCCTCACTCATTTCACAACGAGCACGGCATTGCTGCCATCACTGTAATGAGTATTCACTGAAAGAGGTGCCTACACTGACCTCAAAAATCCATACTACCCGTCAGTTTTCTGGCCACTTGAAATAATATTCGCGTTCATTTTGTTTCTGCGAGTCGTTATTCGTATGCCCATGATCTGTTCTCTTCAGTTGGTCTCTCTCGCTATGGTGTTGCTACTGTTTTGTGGAGAGACAGCAGTTGAACTTTGGGCGATTGCTGAAACCGATAAAGGACTACGACAGAGTAAGAACTGAGGGCTAACGAAGCTGATGATGTTAGAGCCCGCAGCCCACCTCTTGTTAGGCATCATTCTAGTACACGTTACTAAAGAAAAAACTACACTTTAATATAATATTTCATTAAACACTGATTGAATGGTAGGCTGTTTTTTCTGAGAGTCCCGTGCTGGGCATATCCCTAGGAACCCACTGCAGAGTATAACGGTGCAGCGGGCATAACCTGACTCCCAATGCAATGCGAGCTCTTCTCTTATTCAAGGACATACGCAAGCTGCAATGAAGCCAAAGAGTTCATCGGCGTTGCCAGCCCGATACCCTAGGCCTAGCTGCACTGCACCCCATATAGCGTTGTTTGTCTGGAGTTGGTCTGCATATTCCTACCGCTCCTTCTCCTCTTGCAAGAAAGAGTGCAGATGCCACTGGAAGCTCTGGAAGGTGCACTCTCCTATTTTTTCACAGCAGATACACCTCAATATCGTCGCCTTTTGGGGATCATCTGCGCCCTCCACTGGCTCAAAAAAGGCATGCCTAAGATTTTCTGGTTGTGAACTGGCCCAACCTAGAAGTCCCGTACCATGACAATATGACTCACTTCTGAATTCAGCGCGCACTTTACACATACATGTTTGCCAATTTTCGTATCCTCTCTGGCACTCCCGAAGCGTAGCGCAGAGAATGCACCAAGGAGTATACCGATCAGTTGCACCGTTCTTCGGCGTATATTCAGATATTAGATCCATTTTGCACCGTGTACGGCAGCAACTCCTGACCGTTAATGGAAACTCAAAGGAGCGAAAAGTTGAGTCGAGATGGATCTGCAGGTGCATCTGTCACCTCTTTTTGCCTGATCACTGCTCCACATCTTGCGTGGGAGCCTTGGCGTTGCTCTGATCTTTTGGCTTGTTCCACTGGCGGCGCTGCTTGAACTCTAGCTTCTTCAGTTTCTCAGCTCTTTTCATGCATGCATGTATTAGTGCAAACGCAGATACGCAACTCGCCTCTCGGATTTCTTCGTGCTAAATTCACTGCCTGACACCGGTTATCGCCCCCTACACATTTCTGTTCGTTGCTGGCATTTACAGCCCAAATATCGCTGGGTCATTTGAAAACCCGCCTCCTTCTTTCTCAGCTAGGGCGCTGGATGTGGCAGTTTTCCCCCACTTCGACGCTTAGGCACTTTATCATCTCGGTGAACTCAACATTTTCACCCTGTAGTTCCCTTTCTGCCGCCGGACCGGCTACTGATCGCCTCCTTCCAGGCGGCAGCCTTGCTATGAACAAATCATGCAGAATTCCAATTCCATTGTTGTACTTTTGTTCATCAATGTCTGATACTTCTTGTTGTATTGCTTTATCGACAGCTTCCCGCCTTTTGTCTTAGTTTTGCTGTAGCCTGCTGCCCTGTCGACTTGAAAATAAACCTAAATCTCAACCCATATCGGGGGGGTTCCACACTTTATATGTGTTCCGGGAAGGTGGTACCGTTGCTCAAATATATGGAGCATCGTCGCACGTCCCGTTCTAATGAAGGAGGTGCCCAAACCAGCTGTAGCTCCTTTGCGGCACTTGAAAAACGAAGATGCAAGTGAAGAGAACCGATGGATTCCTTCATAGCCACTCCGTTACGGCGTCTGCCATGCATTGACGATCAGCAGAGACAACTGCATCCTCCATGTACGGATTTCGATTAAATGACATTTTCCGCCGTGTGGGATGCAGATATTCCGATTGTTTCAATGCGACAAGTCTCCCAGTCCCCCTTATCGGGGGGCATATCCTGATATGTATCATTTGCGCAAGGAGGAACTGAGTGTGTGATGAATATTTTATACACGTGTTTGCTGACGTTCTTTCCAAGTTATGTCCTTCGCCCCTCCCCTACTGATCACCGATGTACGCCAAACCCTCTTGCTGTGGAGGTGGGATTCGCTGTCACATCTGCCCCTTAGCCATCGGATGATATCTAATGTAACTAGAGTCCTATACTTTATTCTACGAAAGTTCCGAGTTGCAATGGGCTCAACATACTTTGGCTAAGCGTTTCCGCAGAGCAGCTGACATTGTATCCAGTCGCCAAGCGGCGTGCGTCCTGCGGCGAGAAGGCCTGGACCTGGGGGCAGAGGCAGCCTTTGAATGAGTTGTAACGCTCCTCGTTGAAGGTAGTATTGTAAGGTAACTCGCCAAGCAAGAAGAGCGAAGTTTCCTTTATAAATGCACTAACACTGCTGGAAATAGTTGAACCCTTCCATGGCTTTCCATACCCATCCTGCCCGGAAGTAAAGTTACACGAAACAACTTCAGCCAGACCATACTACATTAGGAACTCTCCTATTAAAAGCCGCCGGCTGTGAACTTGCCTCCTGGTAACTGCAGACTTACCAAATAGCAACCCATACACTGCTCCCACCAAAGCATGAAGTAAACTCTTAACGTGTGCGTTAGCACCCACAGACGGACAGTTGATTGATGCCTGACAGCACACGCTGACAATGAGCAAATATTTCCACAAACCACAGCACGTGAATGTGCAGTGGCATCCGCGGGCTCTTGCGAGGAACAGGCTACCTCCAACGACAGAAAACGAACGCAATGCAGCATGATGCGTGCAAACTGCTTTGTATTTCTACAGGCGTGCATGTTGGTTACTTATGAAGGAACAAATTTTAAGAAATTGTTTAGAGTGTCAGCGCAGGCACAGGAACTTGGTGTCCGCGGGGCCGAGTTTACAGCCGGTGCTGCAAAAAGAAGTGCTGCAACGCAGGTAAGTTGCAGCACTTCTTGCTGCAGCTCAGGGAAAGCCGCCTCCTCTGCAAAACAGCCAAATGAAAACTTGCAGAAAAAGCACGAGATGCATTTCGCTCGCTACCGTGTTTTACCCAGTCCTGCGCAAGCACGCCTTCAAGAAAAGGCAAAATGTTTGCAAAATGTTTGTCGACTATAACCTTTGAAAGACAACTGCGAAGCTGGCGTAGTTTTCAGTTTTTGAGTAGGACAAGTAAGATATAATACACATTGCATTCAACGAGCGACTCGAAGGGTACAACCGCTCGTTTCCTTTACCTGGTTTACCGATCTTGCTGCAGTTAACACACGGAACTCCAAGCTACAGCATAGGTGGCTTTCGATTACCTTCACACGGCTGATAGATCAGCGACAACACTTGAACATATCACATCATTGTGTACTGGTCTCCCCGTTATCTTCCTGAATGCTCCTTTCACCGGCCTGGCGCTGCGGTGTCACCGCAGCGGGCGCGGAGGCCCTTTCGCCCCCTGAGGACTACTTTGTGTCCTGCGAGCAGCTTCCGATGATGTATCCGAGCTGTCACGATACGCAGGAAGCGGGGGAGGGGGAGGACGCTGTGGCAGCTCCTCCTGTCCGTATAATCCCTACTGAGCACCCTCAGGCCAGCCCGTTTCAGCCGTTGCCTGAGAAGTAAGGCTGCCGCGATAACCAGGGCTACTTGAGTGAAGGCTACTCGATCCTTGAACGCCCCCACCGTTAATCGGCCGAAAGGCAGGAGGAACACCAACCGATCAGGGAGGTACCTGTTGCCAAACTCCAGGAATTTGATTGGGAGATGGAAACACATAGATTGGCATTCCTAGAGTTGGCGGAAGAGGAGGACCGCGAGCTGGCGGAAGAGGAGGACCGCGAATTGGCGGAAGAGGAGGACCGTGAATTGGCGGAGGAGGAGGACCGCGAATTGGCGGAAGAGGAGGACCGCGAATTGGCGGAAGAGGAGGACCGCGAATTGGCGGNATTGGCGGAAGAGGAGGACCGCGAGTTGGCGGAAGAGGAGGACCGCCAGTTGGTGGAAGAGGAGGACCGCGAGGTGGCGGAAGATGAATACCTCCAGTTGGCGGAAGAAGAGTACCTCCAGTTGGCGGAAGAAGAGTACCTCCAGTTGGCAGAAGAAGAGTACCTTGCGTTGGTGGAAGAGGAATAGGCCTCGAGCCTCCGGGAAATGCTTGGAAGGCACCTGGAAACTGCTGAACAGGCGTGACGCTCTGCGGTGCATACATGTTTCGGGGTGCAAATGTGGATGCGGGGAGTGCAGATGTCGATGCGCGGGGTGCAGGTGTGGGTGGGGGGAATACCGTTACGAAGTGCCCACTAATGCTCTCCGTTTGCACCCATGGTGGATGCGGGATGGAAACGTGCCTCTGCGCAGGGCGCCAGAGAAAAGCAAAGCCCGGGGGAGGTGGAGCGGTCAGCCAAACCTCGCGGGCATCAGAAGAGGTAGTGGGTGTGTGCTGCTGTGCTTCTGTGGGAGTTTGTCTTCTCGGCATGAAGGCAGGAGCTTCCGCTCGAAGAACCGAATACGTCATAGACGAACCGAGCGGGGATTGTTGTTGCTCATTCGTACGGTCCTGTTGCAGCGTCAGTTGCCTGCGGCGCCGTGCGTTGTACCCTCTCAGCGACGGTTGCCTGAACGTATTCCAGATGCTGCTGAAAAGCTTTCTTCCGAGCCGTTTGTAACGTGTGGTAATTGCTTGAATCTCGGCGTCAAATGCCATAAGTTTCCTAGGGGCCCTTCGTTTTCTTTGTGGTGCGAGAACTGTGAATAAACCAAGCTCCTCTTGCACTGTGTCGACCCAGGAGGTCGCAGTGACGTCTCCTGCGAGTCTTCGCTTACCCACATGATACGTATACAAAAGAACGGTCATGAGTCTTCCCGCTACCTTTGAAGGAACGGGAATGCGGTTTTCAACAAATGGATTCATGTGTAGTAGAGCCGATTTACACTTTCTAATTCTAGTCGAGGAGATGCTTGCCTCGCCAGCTAGGTCCGACGAGTTAGAATCTGGTAGGGGAGTTTTAAATGCTTTCAAGAGTTCTAACATTTCTTTCCCCCGCTGAAGTGTATTAAACCTGGACCCAGTAGCTTCTAGTTGTGCCACAGCCTGCTCTCCCTCGTCCACAATGAAGTCAATCGTCTTCTGCCGCTGCAACTCAACTGCGGGAGTTGAATGCGCCCCATTGATAATCAACTCTTGCGTGCAGATCGTCAACAGCGAGACAAACATAGAGTCCTTCTTATCGAAGGGAAAATATTCCGCCAGTTCCCACCCAAGAGGTATGATGCCTTCCAACTCCTGCAATGCCTGGAGAGCCACTGATTCTCCGCTTGTCTCTGTAGGGGTTTCTTCCTGTGCTCCCTGTGCTCCCTGTGCTTCCTGTGCTCCTTGTGCTTCCTGTGCTCCCTCCTCACTCTCTGCCTCCTCGTCACTTTCCTCATCCTCCTCTTCTTCAACGCAGTCACTTTCTTGCTCGTCCTCCAAATCTGAATCGGAGAGAGCCCTGCTACCTATGGAGCCAGACACCATGGGGAACAGAGCCTTCCGTGCACACTGTAATACGACAAAAGCCACTGCTAAACACGCAACCGCCGCCAAGCTGGCGGCAACAGCCATGCGTTGACTACTTCTCCGCTGCCTCTGGAGCTTTCTAATCGCCGAGGGCTCGAAGCCCCCCAAAAACTTTCTCCCAACCGGAGTCGAAGACATGGAGGGATGGAGATGCACATTCCCATCCTGAGACATGGCAATCGGCAGCGTATCTGTCCCGCTTGAAGCCACATTTGTCGTCTCTGAAGCTCCAGTTACTACTGCTGCTGTTGCTGCTGCTGAAGCAAGGAGCGCCATCAACCCAACCAAGCTGGGCAACCCAAATGCATTCTTGTAGGCTATGCAGCGGTGGGCGGTCTCCATTTGCAACAACTGAACTGTGCAAGCTCTCCCAGGCGCGGCTGCTTCTGCGTAAGTGTTTGGTGAACTGTTCGCTGTGTGGCTGCAATTCAAATACCTGAACGATGATCACTGTTGAGGAGGATGCAAGCACTGCGGCCTTATACACTCGCTTTCACGGATTGCAAATTATTCAGATGAACATATCTTTACTCCCTATATAATAATCTTGTAGAGAGTTGGACTGTCGCAAGAAGCTGCGACTCCCGCTGCTTTGGCGTTGCCGTGCTGACACACCTACCGGCTTTGAGGACCCATGGAAGGAAGAAAAATGTCCTGATGCGTGGTGTGGGGCACTTCAGATGTAAGCCAAGTTTTTCTGTTGCTTAAAAATGTGATGGCTGTTACGCTGAGAGGTGAGGGGGGGGGGAGACCAGCGGAACCAGGAGGAGAAAATCGAGACTAGGGCGTCCCGTGTCTCTGGACAAATGTCAACTGATATCTAGCGGGTGGGCCCGCACCTAAACAGCGAAAAAAATCCAGAATTACCCTTCCAGAATGAAAATCAATACTGGTTGCTAGCTAAGTCGTCCCAAGAAAAAAAAAAGACAAGCACGGGTCCTGTAGTGCCTGGCATTACAACGTCAGTGCCGGCTAGGCCGGACACATAATAGGTAACTAAAGGGTACCATAAGCATCCTAGAAGAAAGGGTTAACTAGTTGTTTCATACGACTGTAATAGGATGAGCAGAGCCTAAACGAGTAGAGTGCCGAGACCATGAAACTGTGTAAGCCTGGCCGGCGAGCGGTGCGAGCATCCCCACCGTGCTGGCGGGACGAGTCCGGGCCGCAACCGTAAGGGAAACCGCCAGGTAGTCTCGGAGATCTA